CTCTCTCTCTCTCTCTCTCTCTCTCTCTCTCTCTCTCTGGCTCTGGCTTTCGACTACCATCCTTTACATCCATGAATGATATGGCTGTAGTAATTATTATTATTAAGATTAAAAGATTGGATTTTCCTTGGAAAGTTTTTTTTTCCATTTTACCTACAACAACAACATTGGGCCATTGACCAGAAACATTTAGTCATTATTATTATTATAACCTGTTGTTGTTGTTGTAATATATCATCTTTAGGTTTTTTGTTGTTGTTGTTGTTGTTCTGCCTAAAAAAGATGATTATGATTATTGAATTTTTGTTGTTGTTGTTGTTGAAAATTTTTAAAAACATTTTCTGATCAACAACAACAACAACAACAACAAATGTCTATTCTCGCACATTACACTACCGATTGACCTGAAAAAAAACAAACCATTGATTAATTGCTGATGAACAAAAAGTAAAATTCATATTCTGAGCATCGATTGCTTTTTTTTCTTCTTCTGAACACCAAATAAGAGAAGATTTTTGTGGATGTTTTCAATGATTATTTAATGATCATAATGATGACGATGATCAAATTATAATACCAAAAATAGAAATTCATAATAATAATAGCTTGATGGTGATAATGGTGATGGTGGTAGTTGTATATAATTCGATTTACAATCGAATTATGAAAAATCAAAAATAACAATCGATACAATCGATATAATCAATCGGAAGAAGATAGTAAAAAAATAAAGAAAAAGAAAATTTCATTCACACATTATGGATCATCATTATCCCCTGTTTTTTTTCTTCATTTACACATTGTTGTTTAGATTTAGATAAAGTTATAGATCAATCAAATCAATCAATCAATCAAATTGTAACTATTTTTATGAATAAAATTGTATGTCATTTATGAATGAATTTATTATTATCATCATTACTACATCATTATGATGATGATAATATAGTTGTATAAAGAAAATGGAAAAAATGGAAAAGATTTTTGATTTCAATTGTGATATGTGTTTGGGTATTGTTGTTTAGTGATAGTGATGATGATGATGATTACAAAGCTGATGGAAAGCTACCGTATTTCCATTTGTAATCCATCAATAATAAAATTTTTTCCTTTTGCTTTTCTGCTTTGTGAAATTACAATTGATCATTACATATGATGATCATATTCGATTGATAACATTCGGCTGCTTTTGATTGACATTTTTTTCTTTTTGTAAAAATAGAGCTACAGCATCATCGAAATTATTATCATCATTGAAATCGATGGATGTACAACAACATTCTTCAGCTTCTTCTTCATCATCAATATCGACACCATCAATTGATCAACAATCATTATCGTCGACGACTATTTCTACAGCAGCTACACCAGCAGCAGCAGCAGCAGCAGCAAAATCTGTTGTACCAAATCTAATGGTTCCATTGAATAATGTAATAATACCTGGTCAACCGAAACCAATTTCATCGATAAAATCAATACCGGTTGCAGCATCAACAGCAATTAAATCAAGTGCTGTAGCACCAGTGAAATCAAAAAATAGTACCAATTCTGGTTCAAGTGATTTAGATACAAGTGCATCATTTTCATTACCAATGATGGATATGGGTATAATGGGCAAAATACAAATGTTTCAAAATATATTTGGTAGTTTATTGAGTAAAGGTGGCGGTGGTGGTGGTGGTAGCCGATGTAAACCTAAATGTCCAAAAATGAAAGGTTATGGAAAAATGTCTGTTATGCCTGGCTTAGGTGATAAACAAGCTGAACGTGAAGTAAAAAAATATGTTGATGAAAATACATTGGCAATGTTATTGATGAAAGCAGTTGCAACAAGTGGTATGTGTTTTTTCAAATCTTGCATCTTGTTTCATTTATGAATTTTTGTTTCTTCAATGATTTTAGGTAAAGGCAAAGGCAAAGGAAAAGGTGGCCGAGGTGGTAAATCAAAAGGTGGTGGCGGTGGCGGTGGTGGCTACAAAAAAGGAAAATCAAGCGGTGGATATAGTTCTGGAAAAGGAAACGGCGGTGGTGGATATAACTCCGGTGGTGGCCAAAGTGGATATAGCAATAGCAACATGGGAGGAGGTGGTTATGGTGGAGGAAATTCTGGTGGCTATGATTCCGGTAATTCTGGCGGTAGCTATGGTGGAGGAAATATGGGTGGAAATTCTGGTGGCTACGATTCTGGCAGCTCTGGTGGTGGCTATGATTCCGGCAATTCTGGAGGCGGCTATGGCGGAGGAAATATGGGCGGCAACGCAGGAGGATATGATTCCGGTAACTCCGGCGGCAGCTATGGCGGAGGAAATTCTGGTGGCTATGATTCCGGTAATTCTGGAGGCGGTTATAACGGAGGGAACATGGGCGGTAACGCTGGAGGCTATGATTCCGGTAACTCTGGTGGTGGCTATGGCGGTGGAAATACGGGTGGAAACGCTGGTGGCTATGATTCTGGCAGCTCTGGTGGTGGCTATGGCGGTGGAAATTCAGGTGGCTATGATTCTGGCAGCTCTGGTGGTGGCTATGGCGGTGGAAATATGGGTGGAAACGCTGGCGGCTATGATTCCGGTAATTCTGGAGGCGGCTATGGCGGAGGAAACATGGGCGGTAACGCTGGAGGCTATGATTCCGGTAACTCTGGCGGCAGCTATGGCGGTGGAAATATGGGTGGAAACGCTGGCGGTTATGATTCTGGCAGCTCTGGTGGTGGCTATGGCGGAGGAAATACGGGTGGAAATTCAGGCGGCTATGATTCCGGTAATTCGGGTGGTAGCGGTTATGGTTCTGGCAATATGAATGGATCAGACGGTGGCTATGGCTCAGGAAATATGGGTGGAAATGCTGGCGGATATGATTCTGGTAGCTCTGGTGACGGCTATGGCGGAGGAAATATGAACCAAGGAGGTGGTGGTGGCTATGGCGGTGGAAATATGGGTGGAAACGCAGGCGGCTATGATTCAGGTAGCTCTAGTGGCGGCTATGGCGGTGGAAATACGGGCGGCAACACAGGTGGCTATGATTCCGGGAATTCTGGCGGGGGTGGCTATGGCTCAGGAAATATAGGTGGCAACACTGGAGGTTACGATTCAGGAAATATGGGCGGAAACGCTGGTGGTTATGATTCCGGTAACTCTGCTGGTGGTGGCTATGGCGGTGGAAATACGGGCGGTAACACCGGTGGCTATGATTCCGGTAACTCTGGTGGTGGTAATTATGGCTCAGGAAATATGGGTGGCAACACGGGAGGTTACGATTCAGGAAATATGAATGGAAATGCTGGTGGCTATGATTCTGGTAACTCTGTTGGTGGTGGTCAGAATTCAGGTGGTAATTATGTCCAAGGAAATATGGGCAACGATGTTGGAAACAATGGCAATTATGATTCTGTAAGTGCTGGAAGTATTGGACATTCAAGTACTGGAAATACTGGAAGTTTTGATCTTGCTAGTGGCGGTCATAATTCTGGTAATACAGGTGTAAATAACGCTGGTTATGGCACTGGCTCGAATAATATTGGTCCAAATGATGGACATGGTATGATTTTTTTTTAAATTAATTTTTTAATTTTTCTTAATGATTATTCTATTGCTAATTGTTTTTTTTGTCCCCCCAAAAAAAAAGAACCAGAAGTAAATGATGTTGAAATTGGATTTCAAAGCGATTTTAATGATGATTATAATAATAATAATAATGGTGGTGGTGGTGGTCAAAATACTGGTGATGGTTTTGATTCTGGATTCGGTGATGATGGAAGAGGATCTGGTCAAGGCCATAATAATGGTAATGGTTTCGGCTATGGGGGTGGTGGATCATCAGCCAACGGTGGTGGTAATTTTGGCAATAATCAAGCAGCTTTCCAAGGTGGTGGTGGTGGTGGCAATGGTTATCAAGGTTCATCAGGTCCATTAGGACCATCAATAGGACCAAAAGATTTCAATAATCCACGTAGTACTGTATTTGAAGATAATAAAAATTATGATGATGATAATGATGATGATGAACAAAATAATATTGTTGAACAAACAACAGGTGAAGATGATTCAAGTGAAGCATTTGTTGGTGGTATACCAATGAATACCATAAAAGAATTAGTTAATGAAGCAATATCGGCTGCTGAACATCATAAACGACATATGAAATCAAATCAAAAACATTATGGTTCAGGTGAATCGGTTATATGGAAAGATCATGAACAACAACAACCAATTGATTCGAAATTCAATCAGGTTAATGATGATAATGAAGATAGTGGTCAAAGTACTGAATATGAAGGTGATTCATCAAATCGTAATCCAGTTGTTAATCATCCAGTGGTTAAACATGTTCTACATGAAATTGAAAATAATCCAAATTTTTTAAATGGTGCACGTGAAGTAGTACAGTTACCGAAAACAAAAATACCAATATCATCATCATTATCGACGTTATCGCCATCGAGAAAAAAATTACCGACAAGCAGAATATTCGAACAGGCATCAACAACCAGAATGAATAAAATGTTTCCACCAACAACAACAACAAAATCATCACGTAGTGGTACAACACCGATTCCAACGATAACATCTAAAAGGCCACCAATTCGTTCACAGCCACGAAAGAAATTTATGGAATCAAAATCATTATCATCATCGGCATCATCAATGTCAACAAAATCGATGATGATGACAACAACAACAACATCGAATCCAATATTTAATCTACAAACAACAATGCCTATAATGCATCCAATAACAACTCCAGTGAAAAATCATCGAAATCATCATCGACAACAACAACAACAATCAAGAAATCAACAACAACAACAACAACGTAAACAACAACAACAATCAAAACCAAAATCAAATCTAAGTAATTTATTGAAAAAAGGTTTTTTCAATTCAATGGCTAAATATGGTGATGCTCATAACGGTAACAGCAATAACGGTAACGGTCAAAACAACAACCAGAATAACCAGAATAATCGCAATACAAGAATATTTCGAAGTTCATGATTAAATGTTATGAATGGATTTTTATTAAAAAAATGTTTTTTGTTGCTTGTTTTTTTTCCTGTTTTAAATTTTGCTTAATTTCGATTTTTTTTTACTGAACTTTTTATCAAATTTTTTTTTCTTCAAATAACCCTTTATTCGCCAATCATCGATTTTCTGATCACATTCAGTTCAATTTGTTTGTAAATATATAGCCCTAAAATTAATTTTCTCCAGAGAGAAATTACCTGTGTTTTTACCTGTGTGTGTGTGTGTGTTTTTTTTTAGATTTTTATTTCTTCTATTAAATTTTTCCCTGAAAAAAACATTGTTTACTATAATCATCACATGATACAATCAGAAAATAAAGAAAGAAAGAAATAAACATCAGAATTTTAATTTTAACTTATCGACAATTACATAGGATGACATTGAAGAAAAAAACTTGTTTTTTTTCTCGTTGTAGATAATGATGATGATGATTGCAATCTGGGAATTTATCAATTATCAGTCGACATCAACGGAGATTTGTTTCTGTTTTTCATGGTTGGTCATTTGCATTTTGGTCATTTTCTGATTTTCAAACTTTCAACTTTTTCGAAAAAATTCCGAAAAGTAACTCGAACAGATTTTCCATAAGCAAGAGGTAAGAGTTTATCCAAAACCAAATCAAATGATAATCATTTGATTTGAATGTCAAAAGATGGCACCTATAGTTTTTTCACCTTTTCTTTATCATCAAAAAAATTGTAAATCTTTTTTGTTTGTGTGAAAAGATGCTAAAGATTTTCGATTCGGGAAATTATTTTTCTAAAAAAAATTCAAATCATGTTCCATCAACAGATAATAAAATCATTGACAACAAAAATGATTATCCAACATCAACAACAACGATTATCAACCATATCGCAATCATTATCGTTTGCATTGATTTTACGGAAAAAAATATTGAAAAATATTTCCGAAACAGGTTGTTGTTGTTATTTGTATCGTCAAACTTAATAATGTTCGCGTGTGTGTGCGGGATTGGTTTGTTTGAAAAAAGAAAGAAAAACTTGAATATTTTCTTCCACTTGTTGTTGTCAAATCGAATGGCAAAAGTCAGTCAGTCACAAAAAAAAATGAGAGTTGAGAGTTAACCACAGTTGAGTTGCGTTTTATATTCAGGTCAAATCTATTTACATGTTTTTTGTTGTTGTTAGCTTGAAATTTTTAACAAGATTTCATTATCATTGTTTTTTTCCATCGTTTTCTCAATTAGGTTATTCATTACGAACAATATCTGATCAACAAAAATTTCAACCAATGGCACCATATCCAAAAGCATTAGAACAACAACCCAATGATATGTCCAAATTACCCAAAAAACAATCATGGAAAGAAGCATCATCATTAATAATATTAGCACCAGATAATCAATCGAAAATCAATCTTACAGATGATCAAAATCTACCGATCAAATTTGATTATAATACATTGATGGTAAAACGTTCAGTTACATCATCATTTTTTGCATCGGCATATGTATTTCCAGGTGGACAAGTTGAATTATCTGATTTTGAATATAAATGGTATGATTTATTTGAAAAATACGGTATCAATTTGAATGATTTGGATCGAATATCAATGGATATTGTTGGACCAAGACCACCAATGATTACCGATCCTATAACGTTAAAAGGACAATCAACCAATATGAAAATTATCAATATGGATATTGGTCTTCGTATTACAGCTATTCGTGAAACATTTGAAGAAGCTGGTTAGTTTTTTTGTTTGCTTGTTGTTTAAATTATTTCTATTTTCATTGAATGTAAATTCAGGAATACTTTTACTTGTTGATCCAAAAAATCATAATGATAATGATTATTGTAAAGTTTTAACATCAAAATCACTCAATACCGATCTGAATGAATGGAGACAAAAAATTCGATCAGATTCTGGACAATTCATTCAACTTTGTGATCAATTAAAAATGGTACCAAATGTATGGTCACTTTATGAATGGTCAAATTGGCTAACACCGATCAGTGTTGGTCATCGTCGTTTTGATACAATGTTTTATGTTTGTTGTTTTGAACAAAAACCACCAGTTTTTGTTGATAATGCTGAAGTAACTACACCGATTGTATGTATAATAATTTGTTGAAATTGAATTGAAATTTTTAATTTTAATTTATCACCAGTGGTGTAATCCAATCGAAATACTTGAAACACATCGTTTGGATCAGGCATTTTTAGCACCACCACAAGTATATGAATTATCAAGATTTTTACGTTTTCCAAAAATGGATCGATTATATCGTTTTATGCGTTCAAGACAAACATTAGGTTGTCAACGATGGTTACCAGTTTTTCTTACATATGATGATGGTGCACTATCATTAGTACCTGGTGATGAACAATATCCAACCGAACCATTATTAGTTAGTGATGGTAAACAAATACCCGAATTTAATGGTAGTGTTCATGATGCAAATCGTAATGCAAAATCTAAAAATCGTATGGAATTAATGGGAATTAAATGTCGTGCAATTTGTACAATTGAACCAGGTTGTGGTCATATTCCACCAATTACATATCCTTTCAATGATGATTCTGATGGTGATGAACAATCGAAACCGATAGCCAAATTATAATGATAATTTTGTTGAATTTTATTTTTTTAATTTGAATTTTTTTAATAATTTGTTGAATAATAAAAAAGAAATTAATTATGAGATCCATTTTTCAATTAAATCGAGGTAAAACAGGTAAAATTGGATTATAATTTGAATCTTGTGGTATATAAAAACCATATGATAATTGATGTGCTTGTGCAACAGCTTTTTGTGATGGTGTCATTGGTTCGAGTGTTGAAAATGATGATTGACCACTAATTGGTGGTGTTAATTGATTCGGTAGAATTGATACAGGCATATTTGATCCAGTTACAGGACCACTAGATAAAATAAATGGTGATGGTGATGATGATGAAGTAGTCGGTAATGAATTGTTCGCCGAACCAATTGTTTGTTTTAAATGTTTACTTTTTAATTCATCAAATACTTTGTTTCGTTGAGAATTCTAATTGAGAGAAAATATAAAATTTTAAAATAAGAAAAAATAAATCGAAGAAAATACAGTTACCATTATGTAATCGATTGATTTTTATCGAAAAAAAACAAAAATAAAACAAAAAATTCGACGATCCAAATCAATTTTTTTTTTCGAGAAAATTTTTTTTTTTCATTTGGAAAACTTAATTTGGATCCTTTCATAGACAATGTTTTTCGGAGAATTTTTTGAGCGTGTGATTCTTTTTGTTTTAAAAAAAACTTTGGACCGTTGGTAAAAAGGTATTTGGCGGTAATGTTTATTTTTTCTTATCCAAAATTTTCATTGAATATTTTCTTAGAAAAAACCATTCGCGATGGATTTCAGTCAATTTATCCTAAATGAATCGTATACATTATCACCATATAAAATTTGTGTTGCAAATTTTATCTGTTCATATCTTGAATATCGTCAATCACATGAAATGTCACCAATAGAATCATCAAAATCATCATCATCATCATCATCGTTAGATGTTAATGCACATGGATATTTATCATATAAACTAATCATGTCAATGGATTGTTCATTTGAAGAATTATTATTTCGTATTGAAAATAATGATTGTTATCGTTCGAAAATTGCTGGCGAAGTTTTACAAATATTTCATAAAGAATTGAATCGTTTACGTCGTTCGGATATTAAATATTTTTATGATTTTTTTGATAAAGTTCGTTTATTGGCACAGAAAAAATTCTTTAAAAATCGTATTAAACTTTTGGATGAATTATGTGATCAGGATCATTCTGCTGCTGGTGGTTTTTCACACAATCAAATACATAAAATGTCATTGATTGGTATATTTCTACGTAAATTAATGATCTATTATGAACGATTATCATATTGTGAAACTTCAACTTTATTTGATCAATTACAAAATTATCTTTTAGTTACTGATGATAATGGTCAGAATGATGAAAGTGAAAAACAACATATTGATCAAAAACAATCAAACAAATCCGACCATCAAAACAGTAAACTTTTAAATAATTTAATTCATATTGAATCTAAATTGAAAACAAACAAAGCTAAACATAATGAAATATTTGTTAAACATTTATTGGAATTGATTGAAAAAGTTCGATCAAAACCAATTGATTCAACAGCAACGAATAACGATAATAATGATAATGTTAATGAACAACAAAGTTTACAAAAAACCGAATATAATTTATCAAGTAAACGAAAATTAAGTGATGAAAATTCTGGTAATACATTCAAATCATTGGATATATCGATGGATATTGATGATTCAATGATGACACCATCATCAAATAAACGTTCGATTGTTATTAGTAATCAACAACAACAATCATCAATACCAATGGATCTTGATATTACGCTCAATGATGATATGGATACTGACATGTCGTCAATCGATCGTACTGTATTCGATTCAACAAATGGACAAAAATCAAGTTTAATTTCCAATTCAAATACAACAGTTGCCGATGATGATAATGATGATGATGGTAAAATGAAAAAAGTATCGAAAAAAATTAATCATCATAATGTGTATGATACATTTGAACATTATATTGTAAAACAAATTTATAAAATACAATATAATGAAAAATTGGCATTGAGACCACAACAGGTTATGCAATATTTACGTGAAAAATTTACCAAAGATAATATGTTCTATTATAATCGTTTTATAACATATAATTATTTGGCAAATTTAAATCTGATTCGTGGTTTTGAAGGACAAACTGGCCAAACAGATCAACCATCACTTTTGAATGGTAATTCAATGTTACCGGTATTGGATAATAATCGTTCAAATAATAATAATATGAATGGTACGAATTTTAATGGTGGAATTATGGTCGCAACACCTGGTGGTGGTGGAAATGCTACGGGATTGTATGTACCACCGATAGCAACTACATCGGCACCAATTACCGTAGATTCATTGAATAAAAAATATCGTTCTTTATTTCGTTCGATCAATTTTTTCAACGATATTGAATATCTAAAATTTATCAATGCGTTACGTGTTAATAATTTTACAATGGCAAGAAAAGCATTTTTCGATTATTTTGATCTGAAAAAACCAAGTTTTGAACCTGATCCTAAATATATAACAAATTCATTAACAAATCCTTCAAATACATCGATAAGAAATGGTAGTATTGGAAATGGTATTCATCATCCGAATGGAGCGAATATTCCACGCGGTATGATTGATGGTCCATCGAATCATCCGGTTGGTCATCAACATGGTAATCTGGGTTTTCGTAATCAACGTAATGGAAATGATTCGGGAAATAATGCTATTGATTCTGTATCAGGACGTAACCTAATGTATAGTAGTTCAAATTATTGTTGGTCATCATTAAATCTAGCAATGATGTATTATCATTTTAAATATTATCGTTTAGCATATGATGCATTGGTTGATTGTCTTTCATTAGCACGTGAAAAATGTGATGAACGTTGTTTACAATATACAATGTTATGGATATTACAAATATCACAACATTTAGATCATTCAAAACCTATTGCTATTGAACATTTAAATCTATGTTCTGAATCCGAAACAAATCATTATCTACGTAAGAAAAAAATGAATAAAGTTTATGCTGATTTAGATTTAATGGAAAATATTATCGGACTGATTTTAACAAATCCATTAACATTACCATATATTTTGGCAAAAACATTTTTACATTTTCAACGATTACAATATTTGAAACCTGGTCCATTATTATCCGAACAATTATCATTATCCGATGTCCAATTGGATGGTCCAATGACTTGTTCAAATAATCATCAACGATCACCATTTTTACCACAATCAATTTATTTGGCTATTAAATATCGTCTTTTTGATGTATTAGGTGAACAATTTAGTATGATATCGGCAATATTTAATGCATATGGCGGAACACATTTAGCATCAACTTATGCAAAATTATGGCTTCGAATGGATGTAATCGAAACAATTATGGAAGAACGTATATTTCGTTTAGATGAATCAACACCAATAGCCATTCGAAATATGGCACATTATTTATGGTTTGTTCGTGGTGATTTTCAACAGGCTATCGATTTAATCAATTGTTTTCGTAAACATTTTTCATCATATAATCAATATGCTAAAAAAATTATGGAACAAGCTTTGATTGAAATAATGTTTGATTATAATCTAAATATTGGTCATTGGAATGCAGCAACAAAATGTTTGAATGCAATTCGTCGTTTGGATCGTACACGTTCATATTTAATGTTAGTTCGACTTCGTTATCGACAAAATGAACCAATAACAGCATTAGAATGTTTGGATATGATTATTCCATATGTACCAGGTGGTGGTGGTACATTTAAACAAACACAAATGACAAGTGAATCACAAACATTTAAACTATCTGGAACTACTTATCTTCGACAGAATCTTTTTCAATCTTCAGTATCGAATTCTGCTGCTGTTGTTGATGATTATCAACAAGAAGAAGATCATGTAATTTTAAAAACATCGAACAAACAACCAACTAATGATCAAACATCACAGCAACAAATTGATAGTAATAATTCGAAACCAATATCAATGGGTTCATTTTATTCAAAAAATCTTAATTATTATGAACGAATACAACCACCACCACCCGAAGAATTAGAATCGGAAAATGAAAGAAAATTAGTACCGGAATTAGATCCATATACAACGATTGAATGTCATTTGATTCGTGGTACAATACTACAGGATTTATCCATATTATTTGAATGTGTTGCACAATCATTGATACATGGTTTTAAACAACTTGAATGTCGATCATTAATACAGATTGCTAGAATTCAATCCGAACAATATGGACAACATAATGATGCAGCTGAAATAATTGAATCATTAATGCATCGTATATTATCACAATCAACAATAAAAGATTTAGCCGAATCAATGTTTGTTTATGCATCAATTTTATATCAAATTAATCGACAACAATCGAAAGAAAAGAATCGATTATCATCATCAGCAAATGAATATCGTTCGATTTTAAAACGATTAGTTAATAATGATGGCGATTATGATAATAATCATTCCATATTGGATCCAGCATCCAAATTGATAAAACGTTCAATAATATTATGGCAATATATAAATGATCGTCAACGATTATTAGATTCATTAAGACAGGCGGCTTTGATTGAAAATGATCGTCAAAATTTTGTTGGAAGAAATTTTTTCAGTAAACGTGCACGTCAAATACGTCAAAATCCTTTCCATAAATAATCAAAATATTTAAAAATTTGTAATTTGTTTTTTTAAAATTTTTATTTTCAAATAAAATGTGTTCAAAGAAAAAAAAAGAAAAAGAAAATTTACAACTTTGTATCTGGTCTGTGTGTTTTAGTGTATTAATTAAATTGCTTTTACAATTCATCATTTTTCTCTCTCACTTTTTCTTAATTCATTTATAGCAATTGTAAATTATATTTGTTTGTTTGTTTGTGGAACAATTTCAAATCAATTATGTATATATTATGTGGAAATGGTCAAGGAAAAGAAAAATAGAAATAAAAGTCTGTTTCTTGGTATCAATGGTGAATTATAATGGAGAAAAAATGATGAGAGAGAACAAGAATATATAATGTATGTATTGGTGGTGGTGTTTGTATGTGTTAAATGAGAAAAAGATGAAGATGCTTGAATGATAAAATATATGATTTTTGTTGTTGTTGTCTTTACTTGCTTCAATCAAATTCATTATTTTCAGAATAAGAAGTAAGAAGAATATAGAGATTTATATTTATATAATTTTTTTTTTTGGTCACGGTGAAGAATACTGTGGTTTTATGGGAGAAAGAGAGAGAAAAAAAATATGATCTGAAAAAATAAAAATTATTGAAAATATTTAGCCGGTAATTTGTAATTTGTGGATTATATTATTCGGGTAAATGTTGAAAATATTTTGTTTTTTTTCAAAAAAAAAGGATGAATTGAATGAATGAGATTAACTATTGCTAAAATGCTATAAAGACGAATTAGAAAAAAAAACCAAGAAAATTTACAATAATTTTGAATGAAGATTCACTATTTTATTTTCCTTCGATATTCAATAACTATAGTTTAGAACGATACGAAAGTATTTGCTTTATTTTTGTTTTTGTTTTTTTTGGTGATTTAGCTGCTTTCATATGATGATGATAAAATTTTGATAATTTTGATGAGTGTGCAAGTGAGTATGTGTGTATTTTATAGGATGATGTCGTTGTTTCGTTTTTTGTTTCAAGAAAAACAAATCAAATGATGACAGCACAAAGAATTTATGGTGAAAAATAACTGAATGAAAAATGTAACTAATGGCAGCCTATAAAATATATTTAAAAAACGACCGTTGTCGTTTTTTTAATGATGACAAATGATGATAGAATGGAATGTCTTTTTCGTTAGTTATTTTTTTGTTTAGATAAATTCCAAAAATTCTTACACACTTGATGCACACAAATACACACACACACACAAAGTTATAAAGGGAATTTTATATGATGATGATAATGATGAGATACAAACAAACTAACAAAGGATAATATTGATGATTGATGATGAGTAATAAAGAGGTTTTTGAATTGATTGAGAAAGGTGTTGTTTATGACTAAAAAGAAAGAAACAAGGAAAATCATTTGCTAACAATCTTTTGATGATTATGATGATCAAAATAAATTGTTGTTGATTGTAATTGTATAAGACTAATATTAATGACTAGTATGAATATATAATATGGCCAATATTGTGTTAATATTGATGGACGATAACCGGCACTAATTACTTGCAAAAAATAGCTTGAATATGGTTGTTCAGACCAACCAACCGGATTATGAGCATAAATATTTACTTTATGTTCACCACGTGGTAATGCTGTTTCAATCACATATGTTGTATTATCTTTTGCATTTGCTATAATGATAATGATAATAATAATTTTTTTTGATTAGTAAAATTTAATTTTTATTTCCTGTTTTAAAAATAATAACATACATTTATTGAAAAGATGAGCTTGTTCATCCGATATCTCCAAACGATAAATATCGATCGGTGGTTCAACATTTGTTTCATTCAATTCCAAAATAATGGCACCTTCTTTATAATCCAAACGTACGACCATTGGTGAATCAGGTATACGGCCAATTTTTATTTCAAACAATCGGCTATCAGCTCCTTGTGTATTTTCAGCACGACATTTATATTTAATTCTGGAATTTGGTCGTGGATTTCGTATTTCATCAATATTTCTAAATGTTAACATCAATGTTGACATGTTGATTGAATCGATTATTTTCGTTTTAACACCACCTCTTTGTTCTTTTGTTTTGAAATAAGATTTGGATTAAAGATTGAAATCATTTTTATTAAAATCAGAGATTAAACTTACGATTAGGATCAACTGGACGATTATCAGCTGTAAACCAACCAATTGTTGCTACTGGATCAGCATAAACAATACAGGATATGTTTACCGATAATGGTCCACCTTGTTGAACAGCTTCTTCAGATACCCAAATATGTGCCGGTGTTTTTTCATCAAAACGTGGTTTATCTAACGGAAAATGAAAAACAAAAATTATCGAAATTTTTTCATCATTTTTAAAAAATTAAAATTTCACTTACATTGAACACGAAGAGTCAATTTGAGCTCTTTTGAATCCGAAATAAAACGATTGGTTGTATCAACCGAACAAACATAATTACCATCATGATCTTTACTAACATTTCTGATTTCTAAACGGCTAATCGTTCGTATTTCATCCGGATTCGGTGAACGATCACGATTAATTTCAATACGATATCTTGGATCTTGACTTAAATCATATTGACCAAATGTCCACATAAATTCAATAGTAGCATCTTTATCAGCAGTTACCATACATTCAATACGAACATTATCACCTTCATTAACTTGATAAGATTCTTTTGATGCTTTCAATATGGTTGGATTGAATACATGTAAACGGAATGATGCTGATGTTTCTCTATTCTGTTCATCTCTTGATATACATTTATAAACACCTGAATCTTGTTTGGTTGGATTTTTTAACTCTAATTTGATCGTATTCTTTTTAACAATATATATTGTATATATTCCATTATTAGGATCATTTACGATTTCTTGTCCTTTTGGATTAATCCATGATAATTTTTCCTTATTACTTGAACCAATACATTGAAAATATTTGGATTCACCAGACATTATACCAACATCTTTATTTGGTTCAGGTCTTATTGAAACATTTGCATCAATACCATTAATAATTAACATCATTATCATTGATAATGTTGTTATAAAAATTGATATATCCATCATATTTGAATCCATGTTTCCTATTACCAGAATAAAACGAAAACAAAACAAAAAAAAATTCAATTAAAATCAGTGACAACGGTGAGAAAAAAGTAAAATTTGCAAGAAAAGAAATTCAATACCAGATTGAAAAAGAGAGAATTACCCGAATTGAGATTAATTATGTGTAAACTACAATTTGATAAGTGGATCAAATTTATTCATTCATTCAGATTTTTTTTCTCTTATTCTCTTCAACTCAATGAATGAAAAAAAAAGAAAATTAATTAACACGAAACCAGATGAGAGAGAGAAAAAAAAACTATTCAATTGAAAAAATACATTTTTGAATGAATGATGGTGGTGATTATGATTATAGTCTACCATTTTTTACTAGGTTGAAATTATATTACTGTTTGTTCGAGTGGATTATCTCCATGCACAATTTGATAACATACACAAAGAGAAAGAGACCACTCGACTTTGAATAGATTTTTTTTTCTATTTTGTTTTGAATTTCAATTCAGTTGAATTTGAACAACAACAACAACAAGCAAGCAACGATAACAACAAGCAAAAATCCCAAACGACAATCTTGACAACGATCGATAATAATCATCATAACAATAGGGTCCTTTTGGGTCCTAGTGGTCCTCATGGATCGATCGATAGTTCATTCAATAATGACCAATTGTTTTGATGGATAAAAGAAAAAAAAGTCTCAGCTGTTTTACAGATTGGAAAAAAACACAGAGAGACTCAGGCTAACGACGATTCATGATTATGACGATGATGATGACGGTTATTTTTCACATCAGGAATAAAACATGAAAACATGGAAAAAAAATTTTCGAAATTCAATAAGATCAAATTGACGAACAACAAAACAAAACAAACAAACATCCGGATTAATCTTGTTCAATCCAGAGGGGAAAACAAAAAAAGTTTCCCTCGAAATCCAATAAATTCACAAATTAACCCTGCAATACTACCACTGTGTATACTTCATTAGTAATCAATAAAATATTCATTTGTAAAAAAGGATTATAAATTTGATACACACACATCTGTCATGTTTAGAAATTTTTTTTTATAAAAAAACTTGTAAATTTTAAAATTATAAAATTTGTAAAAGTAAAATTTGCTAATAAAGATTATTATTGGGTTTTGTTGGTGGGTAATTTTGTTTTCAAGGTAGAAAAACCCGCACTTGATTTACGATTATTATGTGGAAATTTATTCGATTGGAAAATTTACAAACTCAAACACAAAACATTGGTGGATACTATCAACGATCGAAAAATGAATGACTATTTTGGAACAAACAAAACCAAATGACACGCACGCAAAAATATACAAAAATGAATGAAATGTTCATGTTGTCAATACAAATCTATACCAGAATGAACCTACCGTCGTTTTTTGGTCTATTGATGATGATGATCAAACAACAACAAAAAGGTCAAACTAAATTTTTTTTTTGAAACATGGGCCATGTGTTTATCTTGTTGTTGTTGTTGGAACATTACCCTGAAAATAACAACAACAACAACAAAAAAGTTTCTAATTTGAAAAACATTCAAAGATACTATTCCACTGCTATATTTAGAGAGCCAAACATTTATTTATTTAACCAGAAAAAAATGCTGGCCAATCACGTGATCCGGGTATTTTTTTTTTTCATCGGAAAAATCATTAAAAATGAATGGTAAAATTAACAAAGTAAAGAAAAAAGTGAAAATGGATAAAATAAATAACCAAGGGGAGCCAAAGTTTCCATTTAAACATCTCTCTCCTAATTATCAGGATAATGTTTTTCATGTTTTTTTCATTATGTTTGTTTTTGTCACTAAAAATGACCGTTAATTTTCTTTCTACATATAGTACAAATGGGACTAAACTAAATGACATTCGGGAATTCAATCAACGAAAAAAAAATTCGGGTAAAAACATAGAATTGAATGACCGCCAGAAAAAAAGTAACCGAATTTTGATGAGAGAAAAAGAAAAGGATGAGTCCAAAAAAATACCCGTATATATTCATCCTGAGCCGTTTTGTAATTTAATTTTTGTGATTGTGAAATTGAATTTTTTTTTCGTTTCTCGTTGATCCTGGAACATTATTAGTTGCTTCTGAAACATTTATTATTAGCTGCTGATAATTATAGTATAGTGGGGTATAGAGATTGTCGAATTTGTAATGTAATATTCCTGGAAAAAACAGAAAAAACAGCAAGAAAAACAGAAATTCAATTTCTGGTTATTTCAATGACAAACGTGATGACGAGTCAATATTATTCTATGATCCGATCAATGAAACGTAAAAACCCATATGTATGGATGACTCATACGATTTTTGCTTGTTTGGTGGAATCTATCAAACGTCAATCTATCAAAAAAATTCCGGTATTTTCTACCAGTTTTCATATAGAGGATTTACCCAACGTTTCTTTTGGTGTTTCTAGTGACTTTGAACTTGATTTTTATCGTAAAACAAACATGATAAATGTTCCAGATGAAGAGTTTTTTGGGTATTTCCATCACCAACGTCATTATCATTTTGAAACAAAAAGGTTTCCATAGTTTAGCAAAACCTGGTTATTGTTATAATTGTCGCCATGAATATTTTGAATGGCTAATTCATTTTGGGTTTTCTCTGTTTTCTCTCTCTCTCTCTCTCTCTCTCTCTCTCTCTCTCTCCCACTCTATATCCAAAGACAACCAACCAACCAACCAGACTTGCCAGAAAAACAAANAAAAAGGTTTCCATAGTTTAGCAAAACCTGGTTATTGTTATAATTGTCGCCATGAATATTTTGAATGGCTATTTCTTTTTGGGTTTTCTCTGTTTTCTCTCTCTCTCTCTCTCTCTCTCTCTCTCTCCCACTCTATATCCAATGACAACCAACCAACCAACCAGACTTGCCAGAAAAACAAGAATCATCACCCAAAACAACCAACCAACTAACAACAAACAAACAAAACCAGAAAAATAACTATTTTTTCCCGTTTAGTCTATTAACAACAACAACAAAAAACTGCCTGCGATCAACGAAAGACCACACCACACGAAGTGTAATTCGTCACAATGAAGTAAATTTTTGTTGGAACAATTCAATGACTCACTCACTTGCACACGAGAAAACATTGTACTTTTATTATTACGTGGTTGTTGTTGTTGTTGATATAATGGACACGTGGTCGTGTGATCCATAAACAAAATAATAATGATGATGATGGCAGATGGTCAGGCTGAATGAACTAAAGTGAGAGCAATACATACTAATGAAAGCCGGTTTGAGTATCTCACTTACTTTCAAAGAGAGAGTATATCATTTTAAATTCAAAATATGTATACAGTTAGTTAGATAACCTACAGATATGATTTTTTTTGGTAGTCATCAAGGTAGATATAGTTTTTGATTTTCTCTAAGGGTTTTTATCCAAATGAATGATAATTTTCATTTTCATCCATTTTTCCAAGGGTGGTGTACATACAGACTAAAAGATATTTATTACATCATCATTATCATTATTGTATAATGATGAGAAAAAAAAATAGTAATGATTATATAATAATAATCTATTTCGACTCAACTCTGAAAAAAAATATATTTTTCCACGCAATACAATCAGCCAACCTGAACGAGTCAAATGAAATGAAAAAAAACAATTTTCATCAAAGTGACTTGGGTGTGGAAATAGCACGAAATAAAACAGACACAGCACACACACACCTACCTATAATACGAAATTTGATGAGAAAACTTTTTCTGCTGCTGATGATGGAAAGATTCAATGTGGTTTTTTGGATTTTTCATTGGTTTGGCCAATGAAAAAAATGATATTTATGGAAACCCACACAAGCGAATGGATTAGATTCATTATCGATTGATCGATTGATCAAGCAATTATCTTATCTTACCTTATTTCATAATCGATCAATTTGTGAAGAAAACTGATCAATCATTTTTCTACAAATCTTCAGTTTACTTTTGGAAAAATGAAAAATGATTTGGGAAAAAAATTTCTCACGAATTTTAAAACCAATTTTTTTTCTGGCTGAAAAAAAAATTATTATCATTGTTATTCGTCAATTTTCAATTCGATACATCACTGAATTTTCGATGAAAAACCAACTTGGATGAAAATAGTTGGAAAAAAAAAGAAGATAATTTGATTTTTGAACTGAATGGAATGAAAATAACCCCGAATCAAATCAAACTAAATTATAAATATATAATATACCCTTCTCTCTCACTAACTTCAATCATATTATCCGGATTTTCTCTATCTCTCTCTCTCCCCTTTGAATAATTCATTTTTGATTGACGTTTTTTCAACGAAGAAAATTCATTCATTCATAGTCAATGAATGAATGAATTGAGAAATTCAACCGATCAACCTTAAACGAAAAAAACCTTTTTGGTTACCGGGGATAACAAAAAAAAAAGCCAAACCAAATGCAAAATGAATATGTTTTGACATGTGTGTGTGTCTCATCACGGATATTTTTTCAAGTAAATCAATGATGAATGAAGAGAGTGAAGCTTTAATTTGTTTAAATAATGAATAAATCATTTGATTTGACAAAAAAAAATCGGATACATTTTTTTCTGTAACAATGGAAAAAAATGCAAACATCAGCAAGTTCAAAAGTTACAGCAGTTCCTGCAAAATCTATTTATCTTTTGTTTGTTTGTAACGTTTGTTACGAATTGTCCATTAATATAACCTACAATTACCGAAAAAAAATACATATTTTTTTAAAAACTAAATAGGCATATAATCTACCCAAACAAACATTGATAATACATTATTATATTTTTTTCTGGTTTGATTGATTGATTGACTCAATCTGGTTGTTGTTGTTTGAGTAACATACGATGGAAAATCATTACACAATAGGAAAATATTAAAATCAACATTCAAAAAACATGTTAAAATGTCAAAAAAAAAAATTCATTTTTTGAAAAAAAAAAAATGATTCACAAACAGAATGGATACAAGGCAGAAATTTTTTTGTTTGTTGTTGTTGTAATGAAACAAACAAGCAACGAATGGGAGAAAATAACATTTGTTATGTTTGTTTGTTAGTGAAAAAGAATTGCCAAAATTCAATTACATATCGAAATTATTAATGATAATGATGATGATCATTGACATTTGCAATGATCATCATTATCATTATAATCAAGGCCATTTTGAATTTTTTTATAAAAACAACAAAGCAGATGTTTTGTTTTTTTGGAAATTAAATCTGCAGATTGAAAGAGGAAAGAGAAAACAAAAACAAAAACAAATTGACAGTAAAATTTTCAAATCTCAGTCGAAATTCAATGATGACATAGAATTACCGTTATTACAGAGTTTATGTTGATAAATCATCATATATATAGATGATGATTGGGGAAAAGGAAGTGGTAATTTTTTTGCACAAGAATTTTTTGGGAAAAGAATTTTCTTTTCTTTTTTTTGATATTGAAAAACAACCATAACAAAACAGACAAAACTAGTTTATCCTTGAACTAGTTATTCTTTTTTCATCATTTACATCATTTTTTTTTGGGGGCTACTTGTATTAATCGTCATCATCATCTTGAGAAATGAATCATGCGCATTCAAAACAGTAAAACACAGAATAATAAATTTTTACTCAAGGAGAATCACAGAATTTTTTGTTTCGCTTGATAAAAATATCAATATTGAAAATGAAAGGCTAAAAGTTCAAGGTTTTTTTTTCTCCAATCGTGGGTGGATGTATGGGTGTAGTCATCGTTGTTTATTTTCGTCGAAACAACAACAAACAAAATTGAAATTATACCGGTTTATTTTGGCAAGAAAAATTTCATTAATTAGCGAAAAAAAACTGTCAGAAATTAATCAGCAGAAACAAAAAATCCGATCAAATCAAGCGGATTTTGTCATTTTTCAGATAGAATCGAATATTTTCGAAAAATAATAAACATTCGAAACTATTTAAACTTGAGTTGCAAAAATAAGGTAAAAATAGAAATTCGGAGTTTTTTGATCAAATTTTTTTTTACCTTTTTTTCTGTTTAATTATCGCCGTTTAGGGTTAAATATTTTTTTAAAAACTTCAACAAAAAACAAGAAAAGAGTTGCGAATTTCGAATTGATTGTAATGTTTTTTGAGCGTTTCAAATAATTACAGAAGATTTTTTTTCAAAAAAAAGGATGACTTTTGATGATGATGTTGGCGAAAAAAAGAGTGAATTCGACACAAACAAACACACAAAAATGATGTCTATGAATTTATCGATTTTGGTTTATGTCCAAATCGATTATCATCATTAACAATAAACAAAAATGATGAAAATCATCAGGGAGAAACAACTAACGATAATGATGATGATGAATATTTTGATTTTGTTAACCAAACACAAAATCCAAACACCAACCAACACCAAACAAATTCAATCGACCTTATTTTGATCTGAATAATATTTGGCCACCAAACCAAAAAATTTCAACAACAACCACTACTATATTCAATCAAGAAGATACATTCGGTTGACGTAGAATCGGATTCAATATAGCGAAAAAAAAATGGACAAGAACTGATTCTATATGAAAAAATTCATAGAAGAGGTATTATTATTCGAAATGGCAAAATAGCCACAAGAAAGAATATTCTTTTGGTTCCAGAATTTTGTTTGCTTCAAAATCTATATATTAAAAAAAATTCATCCAGTCCATCATCCTATATACACACACACATTACCGGTACATACTTGATCTTGAGAACAACAACCACGACAACAACAAATTCCTACTGCAGTATTGTCATATAGAGATAATAATGCTGCTGCTGCTTAAGATGTTTTCTTGTATCATTTTTAATATGAAAATCAAAAAATAAAAGATAAACGTTATATGCGTGTGTGTGGAACGATAATTTCGAAAAGAAACGTTATAATAACGAAAGAAATACCGGAAATAAATTTCAAGTTTTTCATTTGATTTTCAGGTTGTTTTTTCATCAATCATTAAAAATGACGTATTATTTGTTATTGTTTGTTTTAATTTCATTAAAATTTTCTTAATTACGAATTGTACTTTTTGTTTAATTTTCTTTTTTCTTTTTGTTCAAAATTTACTTTACAATTTCAAGTTTTTGATCGATTGAAATTAATTCAGTTCAATCGATCATTCACAACTACTATTGATTGATGTGATGATTGTGTAATCAATAGTCATTCGTTCCTCTCTATTTTGTCATTGTTAAAAATCAAATTTATTTTTTCAATGACAATTTAAATTTGAACTGAAAAATCAATCAATCAATTCATTTTGAAAACAAACAAAATATCGGACGATCACAACTATTTACACCTTTAGGGCATGACACAGTCAAAAAAAAACATTCGAATTCGAAAACAAAACGTTCGAATTTGAAAAAAACGTTCGAATTCGAAAAACATTCGAATTCGAAAAACATTCGAATTATTTTGGAAATGAAAAACAAACCTTTTGTTTGATGTGTTGATTTCGAAGTTGAAAAAGCTGGAAAAATTTTGAATTTTCTTTTGATGAATAAATTATAATGATAATGATGATGATTTTGTTTTCCGTTTAATCGTTAATGTCAATGATAAAAAAAGATGATTGTCGTAGTTTCACAATGATCATCACATCAAGAATATATGTAAAAAAAAATGGACACACTAATTTTTTCTTCTTCGCTCCATCATCATCATCATTATCATTGTTGTTATCGTGATCAAATAAAACAACAATTGTTGAACAACAAACAGCAAAATTCCAAAATTTAAAAAATGATACACACACAAGGTCACACAAACACACCCACTATTGATGAATATTTTTTGGTGATAAATAAATTTTTTACGACAAAAATCACATCAACAAGAAGAAAAACAAACGAGCAATCAACAATCTTCACTGATCAAATGCCAAAAATCGACTGAATTTCGAAATAAAAAAAAAATCTTCAAACCAATTTTGATTGTATTCAAAGCTTTCTCTAACTCTGCCTCTCTCTTCATTCAATCATCACTCATCATTCGTTCGTTCGTATGTGGTGTGTAAACAGACATACACAGGAAATCTTCTCTTTTGCTGGCTTCGGTTAGGCGCACATCAATTGCGCATGATGGCCAGATAACAATGATAATAACGAATGGCGGTTTTTTTTCTTTCCCCTCTCCTGGTGTCGATTGTGTTAAAATAGGTGACTGTTATTTTTTTTTTGTTGAATTCATCTTGTTGTTGTTGTTGCTGAACAATGATCCAACAACATAAACAACAACAACAAACAAACAACAATGGTATGTATTTTTGTCTGGTTTGTTTATATTGTTTTTTTTTGGTTGCAATGTATCTTTCTCTTTTTTGTTTTCAGACTACTGCTGCTGGTTGGTTATTATCATCAAAAAAACATTGAAATCATGGCACGTCGCAAACATTGACTTACTGAATGATGAAAATGTTGATTTCACAGAGAATGGGCAAAACCTTATGTGATGATGACTTTATGCTTGAATGGACATAACATCAATTTCTTCAGATATCTCTTTTTGAATTCACCCATCATTATCATCACCATAAAATTCAAAACACCCATCCAAAACAATGTAAAATTTTATATAATGAAATGAAATCTATTTCAACCCATGTTTGATTTGGTTTTGCTGTGTGACAAACAAACATCGACGACAACTAATGAAATTAATCAATCAATCAAAAAAAAGAATTGTCAAACCTGTTTGAAGCACCACCACCACTGCTGTTGCTGCCATGTTGATGAATAATGTCAAATCGATTTGCAATTTTTCAGTATTCAAAGAGTTAAAGATTATGAACCAGATATTTTGGATCTTTTTCACACAAAAAAACGTTTGCTTCATCAACGTTAATTTGATAATAATGATGTCATAACCGAAAATGAATTGGATCATCCCCATATCTGTGTGATATTTTTTTCAAAAGAAAAATGAAAACTAAGGTTTCTCAACTAATTATCATCATTGTCATCATTGGTGGTTTAATTTAGATTAATTTTTTTGTTTTTTGTTTTTTTTTCTGTTCCCATAAGGCTTTTTTCATTTTCACACTCAAACCATGTTTTACAGTCAGTCAAATGGCTGAACAAATCTTTTTTGGTTGCCAAAATGGATTCAACCAATTTTCTCTTATCTAATGGCTGTTATCTGGCTTTTTTGTTGTTGTTTTCATACGAGAAAAACAAAACTATTTTCCAACGCAATAATTATCCATTAGATTGAAATTTTGAAAAAAAATCAAAAGAAAAACAACAAATTACCGTTATTCATCGATTATAATTTGCATACGAAATGCAAAACGAACAAAATAAAGGTGATGATTTGATTCGATAAAGTTTGAATCAAGTCAATTATAATACTAATTATGTAGATTTTTGGCTTTTTCTGCTTCTCCTTCTTCAAAGAAAAATAGAAATATTTAAATAATTGAAACATAATTATGTTTAGCATCGTCGTTTGTTTTGTTGTTTTTCTTCTTGAAAAAATATTTCGAAAATGTGTTGATGCGGATATTTCGATAGCTTTATTTTTTTTTCTTGTATAGTCGATAATCATTTTGTTGTTGTTGAAAGATTTCATTTTTTTTAATGGAAATCTTTTTTCTATTTTCACTCTAATGATATGTTTCTGGTGTTTTTTGTATATCCGAACTTGAAACGTTTGGGTGAAAATCTCCTTTCACACACACACTGACAATTAATACCTTTTTTCTCTCTCTCTTGCTCCCATCATCATCATCATCATCATTAGTCGAAATAGTCGAAAGGGGACATCCTTCTGAAGAAGAAAAAATCTTTATCATCAACAACTGAATGATAATGATGTTGTGAATAAACAACCACCATAACATTTTGATCACGCTCATCATCGAATGTAAAACGATTTTTTTTAAAATGCCAAATTCATTTTGCCAATGAAAAATATCGATATTAAAAGATTTGTAAAATCAAATTGAGATGTTTTTCTAGTGAAAAAAAGAAGAAGATATCCAAAGATGACCACAATTGACCTTTCCTTTTTTGTTGTTGTTGTTGTTGTTGAATGTCATTGTCACACCATTAATATGACCATTATGACAATGACATTCAACAACAAAAGTCAAAATAGCCATCACCATCACTACTATCGCCATCAAGAATGGACAAAAATGGTTGAATGAATCGTTGGATGTATAATGATCATTTGAATAAAAGATGGATTGAGGGAGAGCCTCTCTCTCAGCCATCATCATCATCATTATCGTCTTGCGAACCATCATTGAACGAAACGAAACGAACGAAGAATTCCCATTCAAATCATATGCAAAAGTGAAGCAAGCATGATGAATCGGTACGAAGAAGATTATAATGTGACAAATGCCGCTGGTTTTTCTCTCTCTCCTTTCTTTCAAGTTTTCATAGTCGTCATCCGATGAAAATCATTCAACTGGTTCAATAGCCAGCAAGCAAGCAAATCTTTTCAAACGACCAAAACAACAATAATTTTTTTATGATGTTAATGATGATAATAATCAGGCACCCTACCATACATTTATTTTGTCCAAAAATTAATGTTTGTTTGCATGTTGTTCAAGAGGAGGAAATCTTTAAGAAAAAGAAATTTTTCTTTGCAAATTAACCACCGATGAATATCAAGAGAAAAAGGCTAACAACATCTGCTTCTAAATAGATTTAAGGTGTGTAGTTTGCATTGGATGTTTAGTTTTCGGTTTTTGCAAATCAACCAAAATTATTCCCTCCATCCTCCTTGTTTGTTTTAAATGTAAATTAGGTTTTGAGGATCCAAATGGCGTCTCTAGAGGTCTTCTTGAGATTTGAAAAAAACAATGAAAAACCTTTTGAATCTCTTCAAATTCATTCATTCGAATCCATCGTCTGATTGTTTATGGATGATAAACAGAAACAAACGAAAAATAGTAATTAATGGATTTACCTTTCTGTGTGTCGCCCATCTTCTTCTTCGAGTAATAGGTATTCAAAGAAGAAGAAAAAATTCTTGGGAATTTCCTGGAAATTTCACTTTACTTTTCTGTCTGTCTTTCTTGGCAAAATTCCCATCATCATTATCGTTTTTTTGGAGAAAAAAAGATTTTCTCCTTTGGTCAGAATAATTTTCATGTCAAAGTTCAATAACGAAGAAAAAAAAGGGGTCAATCAATCAATCAATCGATCGATCAAAATGAGAGGTAATGGCGATGGCTATTTCGACTTACATCTCCAAAAAAATTCCTCACAAAATTTAATAACTCAATTTTTTCTCATCATCACTATCAAATATTTGGAACAACAACAACAAGGTAAGATTATCATCGTTATCATCGTTATCAGGTGTGTTTCGAAGTGATCATTAAATTCATTCATTCAGTCATTCAGTCAATCAAACACACACACATTGCCATTATCGTTTGTGTTGATGACTTTTTTCTTCTCATCGTTGTTGACCAATATAGATTGTCAGTTTTGGTTTTTGACCAGATGTTTTCTATTGTTATTTTATTTCGTGTTTTCAATTGAAATGCATCCATTTTCATTGTCTTTTTTTTGTTGTTGAAGAAATGATTTTCACGAATTTTTTTTCCAGAAAAATATAATGGATGTTATCCGAAAGTTGTTGTTCTTCAAAAGATAAACTTGATGATGATGATGATCGTGAACTAAACATTAAAAATTCAATTGAAAATTTCAATTGGTTTCCATTTTTTAGAGAAAAACAAAATTTTTTATTTTTAGAAACTTTTTTCGGAAATTTTTCAGAAATTCTCGAAAAAAAGTTCCCAGTTTATCCGGCGGAAAAAAATTAGTCCAAATGTGGACTATTTCGACGACATTGATCGATTTTGTTTTTTTAAATACTCAAGTTAATCTTTAACACGTGATCATCATCATCACTGTCATTATAATCTGTAAATGAGAAAAATACCTTTTTTCTCTTTTCTCGGTCGATGTTTGTTATCACCATCTCCATCTCCATCACCATTATCATCATCCTGGTTATATAAATTTGTTACAAATCTTTTTCCACTTTTAACAAATGACAAATTTTTTTCCTCCGAGCTTTTATCTTTTCCCATCAACAACAACAAAAGAAGAAAATTACTTGAAATTCTTGACGAAAAAACCTTTTTAAATGCATATTGCGCAAACGATAATCACCATTCACCAAACATCATCGAATGACAGTGAAATGATGGATGGATGATTCATCGATTGCCACGTTGTTGTTGATGATGCAAAATAATGGAGCAATACATCATTGCAGTCTCTCGATTCCATTTCATTACATTTTGGATGACATTGACATTCACCCCGTAAACAAAAATGGTTTTTGAAAAAAATAAAAAATACTTTTTGAGCATCGAGCATCAAGCATCATTGACTTTTGACCGTATGAAGGAAAAAAACCCATCAGTTATGCGACACAGGCCCCATATATACTTTGTGACATTTTAAAAGTTTTTTCTGCTGCTTTTTTTAAAAAAATTAAATTTTTCAATAAAATTTTTCTTATCCAACATTCTCCCCCTGCAGATTTAGTTGTGTTATTTTTACACTTGTTGTTGTTTGGTTCTTTACTTTTGTAACTTAATAATAATCACCACCACCATCATTAATGGTGATGATAATGATCATTATCGTTTGTCATTAACGATGGATGTATAAATCTCTTGTTTTGGACACTCTTT